CATATCTCTACACGTATCTCGCTCACCATCTTATATTTATATCTGCATATCTCTACACGTATCTCGCTCACCATCTTATATTTATATCTGCATATCTCTACACGTATTTCGCTCACCATCTTATGTTTATATCTGCATATCTCTACACGTATCTCGCTCACCATTTTCACGGACGCGTCGTACATCTCCACTAGCTCCCTCGTCAGCGGGATCTCCTCGACCTTGAACGTGACCCCGACGAAGCTCAGCTGCCGTGCGATGTACATGCCGCGCAGCTTCATATCCATGGCAACGATCTCCATGGCGCCGACACCCCTGCACATACGCAGCCATTACACCACTGCACGGCTAGATTGGAACGAGTGGCCTGGGTACCACGAGTACTTGATAAAGTATATTTGATAATCGGCGGTTTAATTAATTTAAAATGAAGTTATAACAACTTGCAGGAAAGAGAAATCAATTTAAATTTTAAATCATCATTTCATTCGTGCGTCTTAGTCAAAAACTGACAGTGGTAAGTTCAGTTGACGCTGACAGTCAGGTAGTCCATTGCACTCTTCCGGAAAGTTCTCGCAAGTTAATGCGATCTTCTCATCCGTAAGTAAACCTTGTCGTTTCGGACTAACGGACTACCGCTAATTTTAAACCCTGACGTTATCGCTGGCGCGCACGGTTTCACATCTCGCACCTTTTCTCGACGGCCTGAATGAAGTCGCTGAACTCCTTGAAGGCAGTTCCCTCGCCCCACAGCCCGAGCCGCGTCATGTAGGCCATGTTCTTCGGCTCCGACGCTCCTGCAACAACGACCAACGTATTAGCCAGCGAGCCGTGCAGCCGTGATTTGCACGGTCAGTTTTGAAACTGCACAGCCAAAAACGTGTAGCACGGCCTAAAATATTGATCTAAAGCCGTGTACATTTGTAAAATTGCACTCCCAAATGTTTTTTTCTGCACTCCGACAATACTCATTCCTGGCTAATACCCCGACGACGGCGACGACGATGACGACGACGTATGGCGTGACGATTACGCACTCACTATGTTTATCCACAAATCTCGCGTTCTCTCTGCGCAGACTCCTCGCCAATGCAAAACGACGCAAAGTTTTTTCGCATCTTTTTAATTCGATCTTCGTTACTGATCGGGCGGAAATTAACGAGCCGGGGGAAACTGCTAGGGGAAGAGTTACGCACGTAGGGAACGGCGATGGTCGTTCAAACGCTCGTCCACCACCTCGCGTTAGCTCTAACAATTGTACACGACCAACAAACACGTGCGACAACTACAACTACAACTACAACAACCGCGCGATAACTGGTGCGCGGCCGAGCGAGCGACGACGTGCGATTGTTTCCAACTTTGCTCACCAGTGGCGCTAGCGTAGACGATGCGTGCTTTCGGCAGTCTGTTCTGTAGATCGAGCACCGTCAGACCGGTCTTGGTTGGCTTCGACGAGCCGACGGGACACAGGTTCTTCGCCTTGTGACACTCGTCAAACACGATCTGTGACACAGCAGTGTCAAGGACAGACGACGACAATTCATTTACCATGACTAGTGACTCATCCGTCACCGCTAGTCACATGTCACCAACTAGTCTTCACCGGTCACCACCTGTCAGGACCGGCCAGTCACCTGTCACCACTAGTCACCTGTCACCACTAGTCACCTGTCACCACTAGTCACCTGTCTCCACTAGTCACCTGTCACCACTAGTCACCTGTCTCCACTAGTCACCTGTCACCACTAGTCACCTGTCACCACTAGTCACCTGTCACCACTAGTCACCTGTCACCACCAGCAAGCCAACTGTCACCACTAGTCACCTGTCACCTCTAGTCACCTGTCACCACCAGCAAGCCAACTGTCACCACTAGTCACCTGTCACCACCAGCAAGCCAACTGTCACCACTAGTCACCTGTCACCACTAGTCACCTGTCACCACTAGTCACCTGTCACCACTAGTCACCTGTCACCACCAGCAAGCCAACTGTCACCACTAGTCACCTGTCACCACCAGCAAGCCAACTGTCACCACTTGTCACCTGTCACCACTAGTCACCTGTCACCACTAGTCACCTGTCACCACCAGCAAGCCAACTGTCACCACTAGTCACCTGTCACCACTAGTCACCACCTGTCAGCAACTCCAGGCCATCCTTAAAAAATTGTTGCTGTACCCCGAGGCCACGACCCATGATTTTTTAGTGGGTAGGTAGGTAGGTCTTTTTTTTTAGAAGAATAATAGTTGTTTGTGTTTCAGTCTTAACTATAAGGAATGTAAAAAAAATAAAAAATAAAAATGGAACCCAAAATGTCTAAAAAAACTTTAGGGTCGCGGCTATTTTCGTGGGTCGGTCGGAGGACAGCAAACATAATTTTTTAAGGATGGGCCCACCTGTAACCTCGTCATCGCGCGATAAAAAAAAGGATACGACGCCGTCAAAGTCGTCTCCGCACCAGTGCAGCAGCTGCTTGAAGCGCGTGCGGTACTTGCCGCCGCCCTGGCTCTCGCCGATGAGTGACGAGTAGGTCGCGAAGACGATGCCCTTCTTCACGCTGCCGTTCGTGCGACTCGAGATCTTCGCGTACTTGAACTGCAGCGAGGCGGCGCGCGGTGAGCGAGCGAACAACGATGGGGCTTACAGCTGCGTGGAGGGACGGACAGGTAGAGGGACGGAGGGACGGAGGGATGGATAGGTAGAGGAATGGAGGGACGGAGGGATGGGCAGGTAGAGGGATGGAGGGATGGACAGGTAGAGGGATGGAGGGATGGAGGGATGGACAGGTAGAGGGATGGAGGGATGGACAGGTAGAGGGATGGAGGGATGGACAGGGGGCTGCAGGGACGTATGGGTGGGTGGATGGACGGATGGATGAACGGACGGATGGATGGACGGATGGATGAATGAACGACAAAATGCAGCAACACGGCGCGCGTAAGCGAGCGAACAGACAAGAGTGACACGCACACACGGATTTACACACGCCCACGCATACATGCACATAATACATTTAATGCCTAACAATTTTGCACGATACACGATATCAGCATGGGAATACAAAACAGTTACAGATTGCACAATCAATGTCGATTACTAACAGATGCATCTGAGACCTTGAGAAACCGGTCAAGATCCGTCAGATAGCAGCAAATTGTTGGCCTCCCTCAGACATTTATTATTGATCTTAACAACAAACGCATTCTCCTCGCGACCCTAAACTCTAACTACTAACGACTAACACTCGCAGAATTCGGATCACGACGAGCGAGAAATCGGCTACACGCCTGTCCACCGCGGGACATTTCGCGGGGCGTGAGGAGAAGTGGAGGCAGTCGTACCTTGTTCAGGGCGTGCACGCTGATCTTGCTAGCACCGATGTCACTGAGATCACGCTCCGCGTCGTACTTGAGGTCATTCGAAACGCTCAACCTGAAAAAAGTTCGATATTCAGCCACCACGCTCGCATTAACTCCTTAACTCTGTGTATAAGGGTCACTTAAATGCCAAGATCATGTTTTATACACAGGTGTCCATTTTATAGAATCACTATATAAATGCTACCTACTAATACAGGTTTAGGTTTAACTGTACGTTGACCTCATGACTATTTAATCAGACATACAGTACTGAGTACAGGTCTCCCAACTAACGTCATACTCGATGGAAGAATAACTCATACAAGTATACGTTATTGCAAAGAATCCCAATAGAACCTCACATATATACATTACTGGCAACAAGACACTGAGTCAAGTAAAGTTTACTATTTTACTATTTAAGCCAAGCCTGAATGCCTGCCTATGCAACCCCAATTAATTAAACATTACAACCCTACTAATAGCAAAATGCCTTTGCGAAAAACTGCTTAAAACCTGGGGGCCGTTGTCAGAAACATCGCAAAGTTAATGCTAATGTTAA